TTTCAGGTTCTCTCAGGTTTTATTTTGAAGGGAACTGATGGCTTCAGATCATCTATTCAGGAGCACCCACAAAAGCTCAAGTCAGGTTCCAGTTAGGTACACTCAGGCTTCCTTTTAAGGTTTGAACCCCTATTAGCAGGAACTCAGAGAAAATTTGGGAAATTCCTTAAGGGGGTGGGGGCTGATTTGGGGACTATCAGTTGGTCTGCTGTGCTCTCAGCCCCTATGCCAGAGGGAGGCCAGAACCCAGCACTCTCTGGTGGTCTGCTGAGATCACAGCCACTACACTGATGGAGGTCAGAACCACCTCACCACCAGGATCTGGGCACTCTCAGGCAGTCCCCTGCATTCTCAGCCCCTAGGCCAGAGGGAGGCCAGAACTCAGCACTCTCTGGTGGTCTGCTGAGATCATATCCACTACACTGATGGAGGTTGGAACCCACCCCCATTCAATACAATTCTTGAATTCCTTAAATACAATCCTCCATCCACACAGAGGTTTTGTACAATGCCCCACCCCATCGTGTTCCCTTAGCCAAACCATCTTTACTGTGCAGGAATAATACGGGTTTTAGTTAGTCAACATACTCTCAAAATGGGCCTTACCAGTTTGTACTAAGAAAAATATAAATTAAATATTTGGAAAAATCATAAAAATACAATGCTTCTTCCCTCTAAGGTCATAGCTATAGGGGGACAAATTTCACTCAGGCACTTTTAAGAAATGCTGCCACTGTCTGAAGAATGTTTGTCTTCTGATGTATTCATTTGTTCATTCAATAACTATTTGGTTATTACCTACATTTATTCAGTGTTATAACATTTTTGAGTTAGGTTTGCTAAGCACAGATTATGTAATATTATTAATTTATTACTAAGTAGTTGTTTGTTGATCTCTTGCTTTTAATGGGTATATTATTAACCAAGAAGGGTGAGATACATAGATGTCTAGGAATTGCCTCTACATCCTTATAGGTCACTGGATCATGAACAATTTATTAGGGGAAAATATACAGTAAATTGAACAAGAGTAAAAATGGTAATAGTAATAATAAAAACAACCTTTATTGGGTGATTCCTATGTGCCAGGCATTGTTTTGAGTTCTTTTGGGTTTTTTAAACTTATCCTCATAACACTGAAATCCTCCTTTATTTCAAAAGCCAAAAATTAAATTCAAAGAAATTAAGTGAAAAATGACAAACGAGGGAGGCCAGCTGATTCCAGAGCCATGCCCTGACCTTCCTCTAGCAGCGAGGATAGGAGTGAAGGACAATCATGAAAACCTGATCTCATTTTACTGATGATTCAATTCAATTTTGTTTCCTTTCATCAATTAAATGCTGTTCTATAACGAATATAGATTGAACACTAAAATACATATAAGGGCATTGAATTTAACATATTAAGCAGATTTCACTCACTCCCAGATTGCATTAGGCAATGGAAAGACATAACACAAGGGCTCCAGGAAGAGGAGGGAAGAGATGAGTGGACAGACTTCTTCCTTCCTGCATCTTCCTTCTTCCTGCATCTCAGCAACTTTTCAGCTAACACTTTGTTGATAATGATAGAAAATTAAAACCGAACTTTATTTTGGAATGTTTGCTCGGACAAACTGGTGCTCAAAATAACATATCAAGGAGTACCAGGAACTTGCATAATTTATACAATATCAATGTCTGCCAGCCTTAGAGACATGATCCCCATGGATGGGAAGTTTAGATACTCATATTTCTAACTGCAGTAGATATGCACGTGCATCAACATGGCCTACATTTCTACATGTACCATCATATTCTCCATAACAGCTCCCATTGTCCTTGTTTTGACTGGTATGCCATTCAGAGTGAAGGCCCATGACATTTGTGAGTTCTCAGCTTATTGTACCTTTTAAGTTAGTTACTCTGGGTGACAGCTCCCACTGACATTTGAAAATCCAACTTTCAGTTTTTGTTTTGAGTTTAAATAGAAAGAAATGTTTAGGAATTCTAGAATGTTGATATGCTCCTAAAATGTAATAGCTAGTCAGTCATCCTGAAGTCAGGAGGGCCAGACTGTTTTTTTATGTTTGTTTGTTTGTTTGTTTTGTCTTTTGAGACAGAGTCTCCCTGTAACTCCAGCTGGCCTGGAATTCACAGAGATCTGCCTGTATCTGTTTCCCAAGTTCTGGGATTAAAGGCATGGCCCACCATGCCTGGCAAAACTTCCTCTTGCTGTCAGCAGAACCCTTGCCAGCCAAGAGTGCTCTAAGCCCCAACCTTCCCAAAGTAGAATTGTGGAACAAATAGCTACCAAATGCACACCACACATTATTAAAAATACATGTTCCCAGCCATCAAGAGAAAAACCAAGGATCACAATTCTTGCCTCTAAACAGTATGCTGTATACGACCATGCCCATACTTTCATTCTTCTCTGACACAGGCACACTCAGGGTTTGACTGTTTTCAACTTTCTACTGACCCATCAATCACTTCCTTCCTACTCATGTCCTTTCCCACCTGAAAATTATGTTTGAAAACTGTATCCACAAACTACACCCCAATTGAATCCTCACTTATGAGTCTTTCCCTAATAACTTGTTCTTCAAAGTCCATCAATGTAGTTATAAAAATGAAATGACTGCACTGTGTTGTCTCCCCACCCCCATCCAAGAAAAATGAACAGAAAATACTTACAATGGTTCCTAGCCAGGAGCATTTTATCCCTTATTCACTAGTGGTAAATGAGTCAGATATGAGTTGGCCAGGAAAAGAGCTGCTTTACCCAAAATCTGAGTATGAAATGAGTCATCTCACTCCAAACACTAATATATCCTCCAAAATAACTGGCAAGAATTTCCTATAAAAAGAATTTTGCCTTCACTCTTTTCCATCCATTTAGCTCTCTGAGTTTTTCTAATTTTTCAATTTCCTGTGTGCTTACAATATCGCATTCATAACAAAGGCCCAGGGACATTTCTACCTCTTTATCTTACTTTTCAAGTCTTCTTCCCTACTGAGCAGGGGGACATTTCCGAGAGCATTCCCCTGGCTTTCAAAATCTCTCTCTCTCTCTCTGTCTCACTCTGTCTGTCTCTCTGTTTCTCTATCCTTTCCTCATGAAATTTATGCTCAGTTCAATTGAAATGTAAGCCCGTCTAGAATTTTTCTTTCACTTTGTTGAAGAAAGGAGTTCAAAGCTATAGAAAATAGTTCAAGTCAAACCACTATCCCCCCCCCAACACCAAAAATCATTGCAATAGATACAACCTGTCTGAAATGGACATTGCTGAGGTCAGGTGACAAGCTTCCACTCTGCTGTCCCATACATGAGGTCACAGGCATTCAAACTCCCAGTCTGCCACTAGCTGCAAGTTAAACAGCCACTATGAACTGAAGCTGGGTTAATTCCTATAGATTATCAGGAGCCAAGCACACCATCTACCCAAGGATAAGCAAATATGCTTGTAGAGGAATTCCTGCCAAAGTACTGAGGCTTTTATACTGCTTGGGTCTTGTAACATCACGCATTATTGTTAATTATTCTAAGCTCTTCAATTTCTTGGGCAAAATTACTTACAATTCACTTCTCTCTGGTTGGAATTCAGCCTCGTTTTTCTGTATTAAATGGAATCTAAAGAATAGCCTTGCTCTTTTATATCCAACACTAACAGATGTTAGTTTCCTCAGTTTTATGGCCCTCTGATGACAGACAACTAACTGGTTTTGGCGTTGGGAATAACTGCAACACCTTCAGATTATGAACTTGGTTCAGTTCTTACTGGGAACAGCAGGGGGTTAGTTCATAATATCAAAGATGTAAAATGCGTCCTCCCCTCTTCTCTGGGCAGTGTAAGAAAAGGCCTTCAAATTCAGTAACACACAAGGATTTTTTTCCATTCTCTGATAATCTTCTCCTTAAGTGGGATATAGGAAGAGAGAATAGTTGCATAAAAATGAAATTTCTTATTCAGTTCACCTACTGCTTGGGTCCAAACAAGATGTTCAATCCGTTAAACTCAGAGTATCCAGTAAAAACAAGAAAACTAGAATTGTTCAAATTTGTGCATTCTTGGGAATATTGCCAACCTATGCACTAGTAGCTGGATCTGTTTAATTAACGGTGACATTGTTGACAGTGGGGGTCTGATTCCCTTCTGAGAAACAATTCCAGAGTACAAGTCAGCAGAGCTACAGCAGAGCCTCACCTGACTCACTGTACACAGAGGAAATGTGACCTCGCAGCCAGCATCACTGCTCATGCACAGCTGCTGGGTACTGGCCACAATAGATGTTAAACCCTGAACGTGGTATTATCTATAACAGGAGAAAAAACAGGGATGTGGACAAACACAAAGACTTCCTACAAATAAAACCAGCAAACCTAAACTTAGGTTAACTTTACATCTTTCTCCAAAAATCTGTTTCTATGAAGACAAAGTGAGAACACTTCCTTCCAACAACGTAAAATAAAATCAGCATCAACCCTCCTACTCCTTCATGTACACTCCTGTCTCCTTCCCAGGCAACTGCTATCTTTACCCAGCTGGGCCTCAAGGGCAATCACATGAGTGCGTGTGCAGTGTGGCTAGTCACTACTAGCTTTCGGGGTGGTTTGTGTCCTTCTGTGTTCCCTTCCTTATATCAGAAATTTCAAATGTTGCAAGGAAGAAAGAGAATATCTGGAAAAATAGAGACGACTAAGCAAGGCCTACAAGCATTTCTTCTCATAATGATGTGCACTAAATTACCCAACAAGGAGTGACCTTTTTAACCACCTAGCTCATTTTTGTTCTTCCTCTGTGAACTCCAGCCACAGGCTTCAGATTTGCTTTTCCCAGGAAGAAATGAAACAGTTGAATTCTCCACAGCCTAAGGCAAGTGCTCAGAGGTTTCAGAGAAAACAGTTAGAGGAAGTGGAAGTGACAAGTGAAGGGAAAACAGGAAGACTATTCTGGAATGCCAGTGATGAGCCTGGACCTTACAGATCACACCATTCCCCAACATTGGGTCCATACCTGCCGTCTTCCTGAGCAAAGGGCTGTTCCACATCCACTGTCAGGGAGGCTAGAGCAGAAACTGTCTCTGTTTCCTCTTGCAGCTGAGTGCCAGGCAGAGCACAGCCCCTCGGCAGAGCTGTCGTCCTTACTGACCTCCAGTACTTGCCTAGAAAAAATCATCCACATAGGTTTGTAGGGATTTTAGTTAAATCAGTAGTAATTACAGTATGCTTACAGGTTCAACTCAGAGCAGTTGTTAAGTCAAAACTCCCTTGTTATACAGCTGTAATTTGGTTTCTGAACTGCTATAATTAAGGTTTTCTTAAAAAAAAAAAAATCTAAGAATGCCAGGTTGTGAAGTACTCATATTCTTAAGCCCAAATCTTTGTCTTGCTCAGAAGGTAAAAAAGTAAGGGATAATCCGTGGTCAACACACTTGCTGACAGACTGGCAGCTGTCCTTAGAAAGAAAGCAAACTTGAGGCAGCATGCCTTTGGGAAACTGTCAAGAGTCCTGGAGGTAGAAGACTCCTGGAGAAAACGAATGAGGAATGTAAAAAATTGCTCCTTGAACCATTAGCTTGTTTTTTTTTTTTAAAATGAAGTCGGAATACTAAAGTAAAAGAAAGCCCCAGGGATGTCAGCATGAACCTAACGGCACCTCTGCCAGAACAATCAGGCTAGTTAGCCCTGGATGTTCTTTCCTCTGCAACCTCAGGGTGTGTACCAGAACAATGACTTGAAGCTTTAAAATATGCGCTGGCTGATGTTGGAATCCGTCCATTTCTTGTACTGATGCTTCCTTTTCGCTTTTCTTTAACTTTTTTTTTTTCTTTTTTTGAGGCACAGAAGGAGAACGAGAGGAAAATAAGTCATTTCATGAGAACATGCCAATTGGATCAATGTGACAGAGAAGACAGCAGAGTCAAAGGTTTCAGCCAGTAAGCTTTTGTTTTCTTAACTGTTAAGTGTGAATACCTCAAATCAAAGCAGGAGAAGCTCCCCAGACTCTGACATGACCATCTAGGTTCAAACTGTCTCTGCAGGCCCACCAATTAGGAAGGAACCTGGTATGCAAAGAGTTTGCTTCTGTTTTTTTTTTTTAAGTGTTGCTTGAGTGAAAAAACCAAATATACTGTGTTACAAAATAAGATAAAGCCTCTGAATACAGCCCTGCTCTGGCTGTCCTTATCATGTATATAAGGCTTACTGGACCGTTATCCTTTCTCTAACTTATGAAGGAAAATCAGACTCACACCAACAACCCCTTCAGCTGTAGGAATCCACTACTGCTTTCCTTGCTGTGATCAAAGTCTGGGAATCTCAAAGCCATGAATTTGAACCAAAAAAACAAGTCTGTCAGTGGATCCACAAGCTTTTCTGAAAATTAATGCTGTGCCCAGTGTTCCTGGGCCCAAAGAATGGTCTAGTTGGAAGAGCTCTGTTAGTTAAAATGGCAATTCTTTGTGCTAAAAGGCCTATGTGATCTGTAAGAGTCAATAAGTGGTTCATGTTCTTATGGTGATGGCATGTAAGGGAAAACACGCCAGTACGAAAAAATGTTATTTCATCAAATATTTGAAAGACAAGCAGAAATCCATCAAACCAATATGTTTCCTTATGTTATTGAGGCATATTATGTTATGAGGTATAACACTGGGGCAAGCCTGTCACAGGAAGGTTTTCTGTGGTTTATTGGGAACCTTCCCATGCCAGGTACAAATGGAACACAGGATGGGTCTGGAGTGTAATGGGTGGAACTGTTGTATAGACAACGTTTAATTAACACACATGCCAATCAGCTTCAACGTCAATTAAAAGGCCACTGTAAGCAGATGAGATAGAAAACTGAGTTTCTGTTTTTGAAAAGGTTGCTCTGGAAAAAGCTCATGGATGACAGATCAGCAAGTGATAAGGATGGGAGCAGAAAATCAGTTTTATATCTTGGCAAATGTACAGGTGAACAGAATAATATCTAAAGTCAAATCAAGCATTGGAATCAATAAGGAGACACTGAGAAGGGCTTAGGAAGGATGGACCCAAGTGTAGCCCAGCATATTCGTCAGTCAGCATCCTTCCGTCTCTCAGCTTTGGAAGGTGGCTCTGATGACAGTTCTACTCTATCCCCGCTTTCTCTAAACTACAATGCCATTATTGCCTGGCCCAATTCAGAAATGTCATATTCCATCTCCAAGTAAATAGACTTGCAATGGGTCTCAGAAGAATCATTAGTAAACCTTATTTCAGCACATGGTATCCATGAACCTACTGCCCCTTTATCTTCTTGTAGATTACATGGCACAGCTACAACTATGGGCTTTCCTTATCAAGCACTGTACACTCAACAAGCGTCATTGTATCCACAGATGATGACGGTAGAAGACGTGACTTGACAACAGTCTTTAAGGAGAATGGCTGACAATGATGATCCTTTGCATTTTGCCTCCATATATATTAGTAACAGGAAGCTTTTTAAATAGGCGAGGGCTTTTTGGATAAGATTTAACATGTATAAAATATATTGCAAAGTTAAGATTAAATATTAAAAGCTTGGCTTTTATCCAAATATGTACGTTTCTGACTCAGAAATAACCCCAAATTTTGAGTTCAACGCAGCCTTGAGCAGTCTATAAAAACAGAAGAAAAAGTCTACATTACTAACACATTTGTAGCCCACTATCTCTAACTATAAACGAGAATAATTAAAATAGAAGTTGGTATAACACAGGCTGTGAAATGTGTGGTTAACTCAAACTCTGTAATTTATAGGTTACATTTTCACATGATGTGCAGGATTTTTTTTTTTTTCTTTCAGAAACAGATGTGTAAGAAAATCCTATCTAATGGCACGGGAGTAATAACGCCATTAGCACATAGGAGAAATGAACCGAGGTTTCCTACTAGACTTCTCAGGAACTGATACTCATAAAGTAAAATGTTGCTAACCCACCAGCACAGGGTTGCTCGCCTATGGTAGTAAAACTGGCAACAAAGGAGTTTTCCATTAAAACTGGACACACACCCTCCCTCTTTACTCATATCCTTTATCCTTATTCGCTTTTCCCACCGTGTAAATCTTCCCACTTTTCAGCACTTTTTCAAAGAAAAGGACTATTCAGCCTTCACCATTCTGCATTTTTGTTTTATCTGGCAAGGATAAAGTGAAGAATGAACCTATGTAAAGGCATAGGGCAGATAGTGGAATGCAGCCAGTCAAAAGCTGGAGGTGAAAGCCCAGTGCTTCCCTGGGAGAGAGGATGCCAACAAGGCATCTCTCAGGTGTCGGCAGACTGGAGAAAAATACAGATTACTCTTGGTAATTGACAATTTGGACAAATGGGCAAAAGGTTTTACTTTTGGACGTTGGTGCACAAATAACCCACAGACCTCAAAGTTTTCCCTATCAAAATCTGTCCTCACTTAAAAGCCTCTAGATCCACCAAAACTCTGCCTTCTTCATTTGTGAAACCTTGGATCCACTCTCATAAATTTGCATACTTTACTTTCTTGCCATTTGAATAAGACCCCCTTCCCTTTTTATATGCATGTTCTCCTCGGTAAAGGGATGCTGATAACTTACACTACCCTCAATGCCCATGGCTTATGGGAAGCCCAGGCCCAGAATTCTCTACAACTTCTTAATACCTTTGAAGATCCATTTATTATAGTAAAATGAAGAACTTTATCAGGATTCAAAACACTGAGTGGCATGAGAATAAAGATTTATTGAAAATCTGGTCTATAAAACAAGTGACCAGTTAATGTTTTCATCCAAACCAGCACAACGTTTAGTGTGGCAACTTTTTAGGCTAAATAGGGCTAAAAACCATATGTTATAGATATAATTATTTGTTAGTCAACAAATTATTTTTGCTCTGGATCTATAAACTTATGTTATTCAAATTTTATTTTGACAGCTAAAATTCATTTAAAGAAACAAAACTTACCTAAATCATGTATATAAAAGCAAAATAACCAATTTTTATATTGATTATATGAATATGGGCAAATAATACAAGCAAAATGTGTTGGTTTGAATGAGAAATGTCTACCATAAGCTCATGTATTTGACAATTGAACCCCAGCTGGTGGCACCATTCCTTGGGAGGTACAGCCTTACCTGAAGAAGTACATCATCACAGGTGGGCTTTGAGGTTTCACAGCTTACCCCCACTTCCTGTTCACTCTCTCTTCTTCCAGTTTGTGGATGAAAATGTGACCAGCCAGCTTCCTGCTCCTGATGCTGTGCCCTCCCTGCCTCCTACCATGATGGACTTTGTCCATCTGAAGCTATAAGCCAAAATAAACTCTTTCTTCCTGAAGTTGCTATCGTCAGGGTATTTTATAACAGCAACAGAAGAGTAAATGATACACAAAATTTATACTTCTCGGTAAATATTCACATATATTGATCATTTTCATGGCAACAATCACTCATACAATTATTACCCAATTGACATTTTTATGAAGAATGGATTTTCTGTTTCAATGGGATGTAAAGATTTCAGACTGTTTCATAACACTGTTTACAATCTTTTCAAGAGCTGAATTATATGGTTAATAAATTTGAAGTTCCTTCTTGGCTTCATGACTGGCCTTAGTATATTTGCTTCAAAAGATTTACCTTTAGCATCTCTGCTTTCATTTCTTTTTTAAAAAATTTTATTTATTATTTTTATTTTATGTGTGTGCGTGTCTTGCCTGCATGTAGGCAAGTGCATCCATGTTGTACAATGCCCGCAGAGGTCAGAAGAGGCCGTGGGATCCCCTGGAACTGGAGTACGGACAGTTGTTAGCTGTCATGTGGGTGCTGAGATTCGAACGCAGGTCTTCTGCAAGAACAACCAGTGTTCTTACCCACTGAGCCATCTCTCCAGCTCTTTGCTTTCATTTCTTCAAATATGGAATGATTGTTTTGTTTTCTGGTGTCTTTTAAAAGTTGATTCTGATACTAAGGGTGATTTTATTCATGTTCATTTTGTATGAGATCCATTGAAGTCTTAAATCTGAGGCTGTGTAGTCTTCATCATACTTGAAAACCCTCTTCTGTTGTGTCTTTGTAAAGACGTCCCCACATGCAGTTTCTTTGGAACACTGACTATAGACATGTTGGACCCGAAGGAGGTCCCGCTTCCATTAGTTTCTTCCTTTGTTGCCCTTGCTCTGT